ATGTATTCTTTCTGTGCTCAGGAGGAAGGACACTAAAGTACAAATAAATTAGTATTTTAATTAAATAAGTTTGGACCTACTTTGATTGGCACAGTGAGCCATGTAAAAAGGTTAGACTTTGTGAAGGACACATGCAAATATTTCAATGGTCCTTGGGAGTCCTTTTGTTGAAAGACACTTTCTCTCGGTAGCAGACCCAAGGGGTTCTGTCCTCAGGGGATGCCAAAGCTCTTGAGCCTGTCTTGTTGCCTGAGGTATTTAGAACTCACTCAAAGAACAACAAAAGGTTTGGCATTCAAAACCAAAGAAGTCCAGAAAACCTTTATAATGCTAATCAGACCTCAGGGCCTCATTCCTCTCTTCTTTCAACAGGGAGCTTGCAACCCAGGCTTGAGCTTGTATAGAATAAACCCTCATGTGTTTTGCAACAGACTTGACTCCTAGTGTTTTTTTGGGGTCTCCTGATCTGGGCACAACAGTAGTCCTGAGACTCTGGCCCACCACACCTTTTAGAACCTGTCATTCTTCATCACTAGTCCAGCAGTAGTCTGGGATGTGGCTGTTGGCTTCCTGAGGAAGAACAGAGGGACCCCAAGATCAAAGGTTCCTTTTCTCTCAGGAACAGCCGAAGTGATCAGGGTGAGGCCCCATGTGCTAGAGTTTTCCACCAGGTGTTACAGTTAAGTCTTTTAAATGAGATTGCTGGTATAAGAGGGCAGTGAAAAGAAGCCTATGACGATACCCAAGTGTTACAGCCCTTTGGCTAAGCCATTGTGAGGGCGAAAGCCCATGCCTAGTTGGTGAGACACAGCTCTGGCAGGTGCTGTTCAGCACTGAGCTCTCAGTGGTGGGTGGGCTTTGGCATTTGCCTAGGCAGTTTCTCCATAGCTCCCTGACCATGACAGTGGGCAGTGGGAGGGGTTTCAAGTGTGAATGCATTGGATGGGTCTAGAGATGCCAGGCACACGTGACTTCCATGGAGTGGTTCAGTATCTCATTTACATGCAGTAGCACAGTCCAATCACAAGAAGGAGAACACAGTATTTAATTATCCTCTGGGTGGGGGAAGAATCTCCAGGTACAGTTAAAGGTCATGGGTTGAAAAGCCAAGACACCAAGACATCTGATTAGCACAGGGTGGGCTATCTCTAGGAATCCCTAGGTGCTTGCTGAACAGGTTTCTTATCCAGAAAGGGTCTGGCCTGTAATCTTCTCTGAGTGCTATATGGTGCTGTGAAGAGGTTCTAGAGGTTCAGGCAGAGAGGGCACTCCACTGAGAAAAGGAGTTCCTCGTCTTAACACCGAGCTCAGAGACTATCCAGAAATGCCAGACGTAGACCTTACAATCAAAGTCGCACAAGAACAGATACAGAAATGGGTCACAAGCCCCAGTATTCCTTATGGATTAGGCTTAGGCTTCCATCTCCACCTCCATCCCAGAAAACCAACTAAAAAGAGGCTGGTGATAAAGTCAAGAAAAGAGTATTATTATTGTTATTGTTGCTTTTACTACTACTATTATTATTATATTATTTACATATTATGTGATAATACATGATCACATCAACAAGTTCAGACCCGATGACCTAAGCCTTGTCTTCAAGTGTCCACAAGAGTCTCCGTTACACAGGAAAAGAAGGCAGAGCATATGTTGCTGAGGTGAGTAGTCCTGGTGGTCTCTTTGGTCTGGATGTGATCTGATTGATATGACCTTAAACCATCATTTCAGGGTCTGTCATGTAGGGCTCTTTCTGTCACAGAAATCATTTTGCTTAGGAGTCGTGTTAGTCATTTGTCATAGATATGTTCATCTGTCCAGCCTGTTGTTCTGAGGATCTAAGGTAGAGAAGATAGACGTGGGAAGCCTCACAGAACGGGAAGGGAGTGAGAGAGAAAGACAGTAAACAAAGCATTAATGGTGGCTGGTATGGACACTAGTTTTAAACTCTATTTGGGGTTCCTTAAGCCTCTACCTCCCTGTCAACCCTGGGTAAGACAGAAAGAAAGCTAGAAGGGAAAGGGGAAGTTGCCAGAGCCTGCCAGCAGAGTCAAACGGTTCTTGAGTTGGGAGTGAAGATTAAAATTAATAAACTAACACACAACACATGGGACCTTCCCGAGAGGCTCTAGGGGAAACTAGACTAGACTAGACACCTGGCTTTATTTTAGACTGCTTTTAAGCCAGAGTAAAAACAGCTCAGCACAATGAGTTAATTCACAAGGAGGTGAAACAAGAGGTGTGATTTTGACAAGCTATCCCACCTGCTGTCACAAACAAAAGGAGATGGACTTGGAAATTCTCCCCTGAAGGCCTGGTAAAACCAGTCTTTCTGTTTAGATTTAAATATCAAAGCAGCTGCTAGAACAGCGGCTCCCAAACAGGAAGTAGATCTCTTTAGACTTAGTTCCTGCTGGTTAGGGTCGTTGAGGTCTTTGGGAAGAATCTCAGTAGTCAGGATATCTAACAGTCCACCAACAGCAAATGGCAAAACAGCAGGATGAACAAGCAGCCTCTTTTCTCTTCTGTGTCTCCTTGAAGCCCCTCCTCTCCCTAGGCTGTGTATTTATATTCTCTCCGAGTCCTCAGGATTCCACTAACTTCAGCTGGCAGAGATCATGCCCCTCTCTGAGCAGTCCCATATCCCATACTTGGGATTAAAACAAAAAGATATTTACATAACATAACTGAGCTTTTGAAGAAACCAAAACCTTCTACTACAGGCTGGAGCATCCTTCCAACCTACACTGTCAAGCCATCACCACTTCTGTTGGAATGGGGCTCAAGCCAGGGCTCCTTATAGAACCAGCAGCATGGAGCACCAGGGTGAAGAGAGGAGCCGGACCATCGGGGGTGATTGGTCCAGGGCTCCTGAACCCCAAGTGTTGGCTTCCCTCCAGGATGGACAAGCCGGAGAAGGTCAAACAGAGCATCCTCACATGGGAAGCACACAGAGAGTGGGAAAGGAGGCCAGGCTATCAACCCTAAGTGAGACCCCAGTGGAGTCCCCTCCCCAATAAGACTCCACCCCTCAATGGTTACCTGGCCTTCACCAAGAGTGCCACCCACTGAGGACCAAGTGTTCGAACACACAAGCCTACAGAGGACATTCTCATTTAGCCCACCATAGTTTTAAATGTACTTATTAAAACAAATGTTATTTATGTAACTATGTACTGGGCTTAGTTTTAATGAAACAATACAATTTTTAATTGAAGTTTTAAACTTCAAATATTGATAGGTGCAATACATATAATCTCTTGGAACACTCCATGTTTTTCAACAATATAAACTCCAGTGACTGGCAGGTTTGGGACCCGCTGATCTACAATTGTCGTTTTTAGATGGTTGACCCAAGCCATTGATCTAGTGTATCCTAATTCCTGCAATGCTGAGAGCAGTTTTCTTAAAATTAAATTTGGGTAGGCCCTTATTTTGTCAGGATAGTGTTCAGGGGTGCTTTCTTTAATGTGTGGGTGTATGTGAGTGTGCGAGCCTGTGCTCTATCACTCTATTTGGAAAATAGCGTGAACGTGTGCATGCGTGTGCACCCAAACATGCGTATGTGTGCTTGAGCACGTGTGTGCACGCATGTGTATGTATGTGTGTGTGTTTGCATGTGTGTCTGTGTGTGCTCTGGCTGAGGCACATGTGTGTGCTTACATACATGCATATGTATTCGTGTGTGTGCATGGGTGTGCTTGCATGTATATGTGCGTCTGTGCTCCTGCCGTGGCACATTTGTGGAGATCAGAGGATTACTTGCAGGAATTCGCTCTCCACTCCTTCCACCTCGTGGATCCTGACGCTGGAACTTATGTCATAAGGTTTGGTGGCAGGTGCCCTTATGAGCTGAACCACCTAGAATTATTACTATTATTATTGTTATTTTTAAACTGGGTCTCTCACTGCAGCTGGAACTTCGGTGAGCCCAGGAATCCTCCTGTCTCCACCTCCTTCCAGCGCTAGGTTTCATACACCAACCGCTGTCCGGCTTTTACATGGGCACTATGGATCAGAACCCCTGTCCTCATGCTTACAAGATAGGCACTTTACTAACTGAACCATCTCCTCGGCCCCCGATTTTTAAAAGAAAGCCCCATGCTTACTTTACAAAAAGGAAATAATATCAACAACACGGTCCACTACCTAGCTAGTGACCTATTTCTATCCGTTTAAGACTCTTCCTAGGTTAAGGGTTTGACGCTAGGCCACTGTGCGCAGAGTGCTCAAAGGTCACGTGGGCTCCGATTCAGTGGCTCTGGAATATTGCTGGAAAAACAAATTCCTAGGTTGTGGTGAAGAACTAAAAGAAACTATAGACGGCCTTTATTTGTGCGCTGTTGGTGGACTAAGCCCCACGTTCCTCAAATACAGGGCTGAACCGACCAAGCCGGCCCTGCTCGGGTCTCCCTTTCCAGCTGACGCTTCCGGTTGGTCTCCCTCCCGGGATTCACGGCTGCCTTCTCTCCGTCTTGACTTAACCACCAGCGCCAGGCGCTTAAAAGGATCCAGAGCGTTTTTATGAATTACTGACCGAAGAGTAGGGGACAGATCCGTACCCAGTAACCCGAAGATAAACACGCGTTTAAAATGAACCCTGCCTCTTGTGTCAAGTACCAACCCTGTTACTCCTTACATCCAGGAGCTAAAGCGCAGGGCGCCTCGGCTGGAGCCAGAGGTGAGCCGCCCAACAGGTGGCAGCAGAACGGAGGCTCGCGGGCGGCACCCGGGGTCCTCCCAGACGCCCGGGCCTGCACACCTGGGGGCGGGGCCAGAGGGCGTGGCCAGGCGGCCGGGGCGTGGTCTGTGGGTCAGCCGGGCTCAGGGGGCTGGTCTGTGTGGGCGTGGTTCTGCGGGCGGGGGCGTGGTCTGAGGGCGGCCCGGGGCGTGGTCTGTGGGTCAGCCGGGCTCAGGGAGCTGGCCTGTGGGGGCGTGGTCTGGGGGCGGGCGGGGGCGTGGTCTGCGGGCGGGCGGGCGGGGAGCCGGGGGACGGCGCGGGCCTGTGTGTTGGCGGCGCCGGGGCTCGCGGGAGCTGCTTGGAGGCTCGGCCCGGGAGGAGGCCGCGGCCACGGTGGGTGAGCGAGCGAGCGAGCGCGGGCGGGCGGCTCCGAGGCCAGGCCGCGGCGCTCGGCGGGGACAAAGGGCCGCGGTGCCCGCCGCCCCCGGGACCCCGGGTCCGGGCGCCGGTGCGGCGACGCCCTCCCTCGGCGCAGCCCCGCGGTCACCTGGCTCCCGGGAGGACGGCGGGAGGACGCCTGGGGCAGCCGGGGGTGTCTGGGGGTCCCCGCGGCGGGGGAGCGGGGAGAAAGTTGGATTAGTAACGGTCTCGCCGGAACGTGTTGTGCCGGCGGCCGGGAGCGCCGGGACTTTGTTTCAAAACTGAGTCATAGCCCACACAAAGCGCCCTCTCGCCGTCCCCTAGCCCGCGGGGTCTCCCTGCGTCAGAACCGCGTTTTATTGTTTTGAGGGGATTTCCTTCTAGTTTTTATTTTCTTAAAATGTATGCGTGTGTGTCTGTCTGTGTGCACACTTCCGCTCCGGTGCTGCTGGGGGCCAGAAGACAGCCTAGGAACCCAGGAGCCGGACTTAGCCGGCAGTTGCGTCCTGCCAGCGGACGTGCTGGGAACCGAACTCGGGTCCTTTGCAGGAGCAGCAAGTGCTCGTAAAACATCGAGCTTTCTTTAATTTATTTAATTTGGAAGTAAAGCTGGCCTGCAATTCGTTATCTTGTTTGCCAAATGCAGGGGTCACAGGCGTGTCTCACCAGGCCCAGCGAGTATTTGTTTTAATTGGTGTTATTGGGAATATGTGTTTTAGCCCTAAGAAATTGTGTATTTTAAATTTTATTTAGGGCGAGTGTGTATGTGTGTGTGTGTGTGTGTGCGCGCGCGTGTGTGTGCGCGCGTGTGTGTGCGTGTGTGTGCGTGCACGCGCGTGCCGGGGTGTGTATGTCAAAGGACAGCTTTAGAGGGAGGCATTTCTCTCCCTGTTAGAGCGTGAGGAATAGAACTCAGCTCTTCAGGCTTGCCAGGCAGCTGTTTTTACCAACGTAGCCAGCTTGCCATCTCCAAATTATAACCCCTGTGAAAATTTGTGTATAACGGAAGAATCTATCACACTAACAAAGAATATATTAACATTTACCCATAATTTTGTTTTGTTTTGCTTTATATGTTCTAGACAGCCCTATTCTGGAACTATGTAGACCAGGCTGGCCTGGAACTCACAGAGATCCACCTGCCTCTGCCTCCCAAGTGCTGGGGTTACAGGCCTGCGCCACTACGACCAGCTTACCCACAATTGTTAATGCAATTCATAATTTACAGTTTGTTATTGGTGCGTTTAATTGAATGATTGTGGATCCCGCTCCTCTCTCTGAAGTTCTGAAGTACTTTACTAACAAAGTGAGATAATCATTACAATAATTTTCATTTACAGTTTTGACACTCAGATTTTAGAAATTGGAGCTGAAGGTATTATTTGTGGTAGAAGCCTTGCCTCACACATATAAGGCCCTGGGTTCCCTCTCCAGCGTCATGTGTGTGCACATACACAGAGAATTTAATTTAAAAGGCGCTTTAAAATAATATAGTATGGGGGCTGGAGAGATGGCTCAGAGGTTCAGAGCGCTGGCTGTGCCCTCTTCCTGTGTGCAGGCACACTGCAGGCAGAATGTTGTATAAATAATAAATAAATAACTCTTCAAAAAATAATACAGTATTAATATTTTTATTTTTTTATTTTGGTTTTTCAAGACAGGGTTTCTTTGTAGACCAGGCTAGCCTCGAACTCGCCGAGAGCTGACTACCTCTGTTTTTCTGAGTGCTGGAATTACAGGTGTGCACCACCACCCCTGGCTTTTAAAGATGTATTTTTATTATTTTTAAAAATGTGAATGTGCATGTCCAGATGCCCCAGAAGACAGAAACTTCAGCTCCCCTGACCCCAGGAACTGAAGCTACGGATGGTAGTGAGCTGCCCAAGATGGGTGCTGGGAGTCAGTGTATGTGTGTATACACACATATATACACATTTTTATTAATTTATATATATATATATAATTTTTATTGTATCATATGTGTAATTTTTTTGAGACAGGGTCTCACTAGGTAGCTCTGGCTGGCCTTGAGTATACAGAGATTGGCATGTTTCTGCCTCCTGAGTGCTGGAATTTAAAGGCCTGCAGCACCACCCTTGGCAGTATTGTTACTTCTTATATGAGCTTGCAGTTAAATACTAAACTTGGATTTCAAGTAAAATCTGAAGTTGAAATTTGAAATATTAGCAGTGCAGTTGGTAATGGTTTCAGATTGCTGGGGCTTCAGCCATGTTCACTATGCTTTCATCATCCATGCCTGAGGATTCTAGGTTCATTCTTTAAAGAAAGCCACCCAAAGTCTGAATTTCTGAATGTGTGGGCAACATTTGAGAATGTTCTTCAAATGATCCCTCAAGGTTTTTGACACAAGCGACTAATTTTTGATCGGGTGTTTTTTGTTTGTTTTTGTTTAATTTGTAACCGACTGCTTGCCGTGAAATAAAGTTTTGTTTGTCTGGCTTTGTCTTTAGCTTCCTGGAGACTACCACAGGACTGCTTTGGAGAATCATGAAGTCACACTATGTTGTGCTAACTCTAGCCTGCCTGGTGCTCCTGGCGCGTCTCCCTGTGTCACAGAGCTGTAACAAAGCACTCTGTGCAAGCGATGTGAGCAAATGCCTCATTCAGGTAGGAGTACAGGTGCTGCTGTCAATGCTGTGGACAGGTGCACAGCGTGGATAAGGCAAAGCAGGTGTGCGTGGTGTGAGCGCTGGGCCAGGGCCCGGGGGCCTGAGCGTTGGGTGTTTATCTCAGTGGCTGTCTTTGACCGGATCAAGGCTGGGTTCCAGAAGTTCAGTCTGGAGCCCGCTCTTCTGCTGTGTAAGCCTGCCGTTATAGGTGGAGAGCTAGTGTCTGCAGCCTAGCTTATGTGGCAGAGCCCTAATAACTGTATTTAGAAAACTTCTAGCCTGTTGCTTAATAGGCAGATTGTTACATAGAATGTTTTTTTTTTTGTTTTTTTTTTTTTTTTTTTTTTGTTGCTGTGTAATGGATTATATCAAAACCAGCAACTGCAAGCAAAATACATTACCTGGTGCCGCCTCTGAGGGACGAGACCTGGAAGGAGAGTGGTGGGAAGGTCTGGTGCCTGGTGCAGGCAGGTTGTTGGCTGGGGTGACAGACTCTCCCTCCAAGGACTTGGAAATTATCCAGCGGAAGCAAGGCCACCAGTGGAGTTCCTCATTCCTGAGGCGAAAAGTGACAGTAGGTCATTTGGTGAGGTTCCTGTCGCTACGAAGTAGCTGTGGGATTTGGTCTGTGTCTGACTCCTAAGCCCATGGCTTTTTGCTCAGCACACTGGTTACTGCTCCCCATATGGGGTGCTAGTGAGAGACAGACTCGAAGCTTCTCTGTCCTCCCATCCCACCAGCAGTCTGTCCTTTGGGGCGCCTTCTCTTTGTGGCCTCCATTCTAGCTATTGGTCATGGCCTAAGAAATTTAATAACTATGTATGCAGGTTGAATATGTGTGAAATGTTTATGGCCAAAAGTGTTTCACATTTTGAAATTTTTAGAATTGCTTAAAGGTATATGCAAATATATTTTTACATATGTATATATACAAAATAGGTTTTTTTTTTTGTGTGTATATATATATGAAATGACCTTGGTAGTGGGATCCAGTCTAAAGACAAACAGTATGTTTCATGTTTGCCTTGCTTTGCCTGAGAGTGATCTTATGCAGTATTTTTAGCATGCCTGTTTTCCACTGCAGCTCCTCGTCTTGTGTCAGATGTGGAATTTTCCACTTGTGACGTCATGCTAGTGTTGAGGAAGTTTTACAGTTTTGAGCCTTTCAGATTGCATATTTAGGATGAGAGACATGCAGCCTGTATTAGCTTTCCATAGAGTATGTGAATTAGCTAATTTTGGTTGTAATTTTCACTTGAAAGTACCGTCATGAGTATTTTGGTAGATCAAAGTAAGTTTGTGTCTATGCCTGATTTTTTTTCTCCTTTTCATTTTTTGAATTGAATTCTTGTTTCATTAATGGTATACTCTGATAGAACCTTTATTGCCTTTCAAATCAAACATTTAATTAGAGAAGTTTGTTGTTGACTGATTTTAACTTTCTGTGGATATGTGTGTGTGTGTGTGTGTGTGTGTGTGTGTGTGTGTTGATTTAGAGAGCTTGGTTTTCTGAGTTTTCTCCATCCCCTCTGGCTCGTACATGCTTTCCACCTCCTCTTCCTCAGGGTTCAGTTCCCTGCTGGTGGACACATCTCAGTGAGGCCGAGAGTTCATTCTCTGCACAGTGTCTGGCTGTGGTCCTCTGTTTTGGTTCCCATCTCCTGCAGGAGGAAGCTTCTCTGTTGATGGCTGAGCATGGCACTGACCATATTTATCTTTCTGTGTCTGGGTTACTTCACTCAGGATGATATTTTTCTAATTCCATCCGCTTATCTGTGAATTTCATGATTTTATTTTTTTAATTTTTTGCCAGATGAGTAATCCATTGCATAATGTATCACACTTTCTTTATCCATTCATCTATTGAGGGATATCTACGTTGTTCCCAAATTCTGGCTATTACAAAGAGAGCAGCAATGAACGTGGTTGAGCAAGTGTCTTTGTGGCAGGACGAAGTGTCCTTTGAGTATATGCCCAAGCCTGGTGGAGCTGGATCTGGAGGCAGTTTGATCCCTGTCTTCCAGAGGAACCGCCACACTGATTTCCATTGTAGCTGTGTAAGTTTTGCACTCACACCAGCAGTGGCGGAGTTGCTCCCTTGCTCCGCATCCTCGCCAGCGTGAGCTGCCACTGTTTTATTGAGCTCAGCCGTTCTCATGAGTGTAAGATGAAATCTTAAAGTAGTTCCGACTTACCTTTCCCTGATGGCTAGGGATATTAAGCATTTCTTTAAGTATTTCTCAGCCATTTGAGACTCCTCCATTAAGAATTTTGTTTAGATCTCTACCCCATTTTTAAATTGGGTTGTTCTTCTTGACATCTAGTTTCTGAGTTCTTTATATAATTTGGATATGAGCTATCTGTCAGATGTGTAGTTGGTAAAAATCTTTTTCCATTCTGTAGGCTGCCACTTTGAATGATGGTGTCTTTTTTCATGCAGAAGCTTTTCAGTTTCATGAGGTCCCATTTATTGATTGTTGCTCTTGCTAACGGTGTTCTGTTGAGAACACTGTTCTGAACAGTGAGTTCAAGGCTATCCCCCCACTTTCCCTTCTGTCAGGTTCAGTGCGTCAGGTTTTACGTTGAGGTCTTTGATCCATCTGGAGTTGAGTTTTGTGCAGGGGGCTAAGTGTGGATCTGTTTGGAGTCTTGTTCATGCAGCTGTGCACTTTGGCCAGCACAAGTTGTTGAAAGATTCTGACTTTTTTTCCAGTGTGTGTTTCTGGCTTTCTTATCAAAAATCAGGTGTCCATATACCTGTGGGTTTATGTCTGGGCCTTCAGTTTGATTCCATTGACCCGTGTCTGTTTTTTATGCTAATGCCATACTGTTTTTATTACTACATCTGGGTAGTACAACATGAAATCAGGAATAGGGATACCTCCAGTAGTTCATTTATTATTCAGGGTTGTTTTAGCTACCCTGAATTTTTTTTTGGTGTTTCCATATGAAGCTGAAAGTTGTCCTTTTAAGATCTGTGAAGAACTGTGCTGGAATTTTGATGGGGATTGCCTTGAACCTGTAGATAGCTTTTGTTAGTATGGCCATTTTTACTGTATTAATCTTACAGATCCATCGGCATGGGAGATCTTTCTGATATCTTCCTCAATTTCTTTCTTCAGTGTCGTAAAGTTTTTATCATACAGGTCTTTCACTTGCTTGGTTAGAGTTACCCCAATTTATTTTATATTGTTTGAGGCTATTGTGAAAGGTGTTGTTTCTGCAATTTCTTTCTTAGTCCATTTGCCACTTGTATATAGGCGTGCTACTGATTTTTAGGAGCTAAATTTTTTTTTTTAAAGACGTTTTTTTGGTTTGTTTTTTTCTTAAGATTTATTTATTATGTATACAGTATTCTGCCTACATGTACACCTGCATGCCAGAAGAGGGCACCAGATCTCATTATAGATGGTTGTGAGCCACCATGTGGTTGCTGGGAATTGAACTCATGATCTCTGGAAGAGCAGCCAGTGCTCTTAACCTCTGAGCCATCTCTCCAGCCCTAGGAGCTAAATTTTTACACAGCTACTTTGCTGAAACTGTTTAGCCGCTGTTGGAGTTTCTTAGGTCTCGTTTAGTGGAGTTTTTAGGGGCTCTTTTGGACACTGTCGTATCATCTGCAAGTAAATATACTTTGACTTCTTTGTTTCTAATTTGCCTCCCCTTTTTTAAAGGTTTATTTATTTTATGTATATGAGTGCTCTATCTGCATGTACACCTGCCCGCCAGAAGAGGGCACTAGGTCTCATTATAGGTGGTTGTAAACCACCATGTGGTTACTGGGAATTGAACTCAGGACCTCTGGAAGAGCAGTCATTAAAAGTCTCAAAGAACTCTTAACCACCGAGCCATCTCTCCAGCCACAGTTTATATCCCCTTGATCTCCTTCATTTGTCTTACTGATCTGACTAAGATTTCAAGTATTATATTGAATAGATATGAGTGGACAACTTGTCCTGTTCCTGATTTTAGTGGACTCGCTTTGAACTTTTCTGCGTTTAAGTAGATGTTGCCTATGGGCTTGCCATAAACTACATTTATTATGATGAGGTGTGTCCTATATCCCTAATCTCTCCAGGACTTTTATCATGAAGGAGTATTGTGTTTTGCCAAAGGCCTTTTCTGTGCACCTATTAAGATGATCATGTGGTTTTTATCTTTTAGTTTATTTACATGATAGATTACATTGACAGATTTTCATATGTTAAACCATACCTGCATTTCTGGGATGAAGCCTACTTGATCATTGTGAATGATCTTTTTGATATGTTCTTAGATAGTTTGCAAGTATTTATTAAGAAATAAATCTATGTTCATAAGGGAAATTGGTCTGTATTTTTTCTTTGTTGGGTCTTTGTGTGTTTGGGTATCAGGCTGACTGTGGCTTCATAATTTGAATTGGGCACTGTTCCTTCTGTATGTTTGGGGAGTTGTTGGCATTAAATCTTCTTTGAAAGTCTGGTTGAATTCCATGCTAAAACCATCATACCCTGGACTTTGTTTTTGTTGAAAGACTTTTAATGACTGTTTCTATTTCGCTAGAGGTTATAGATCTATTTAGATTGTTTATCTGATCTTGATTTAACTTTGGTGAGTGATACCTATCGGGGAAAATTACCCATTTCTTTTAAGTTTTTCAATTTGGTGAAGTACAGATTTTTAAAGTACGTCCTTATAAGTCTTTGGAGTGTCTGTCGTTATGACCCCTTTTCATTTCTAATTTTGTCAGTTTAAATAGTCTCTTTCATCCTTTTAGTTAATTTGGATAAAGGTTAGTCAATCTCACTGATTTTTCTCAAAAACAAACAAACAACAACAAACCATCTCTTTGTTCCATTGACTGTTTGTATTGTTTTTTTGTTTTTATATTATTGATTTTAGCCCTGAGATTGGCTATTTCTTGCCATCTACTCATTTTGGGTATGATTTCCTCTTTTTGTTCTGCAGCTTTCAGGTGTGCTGGTAAGTAGGCATTTAGTGCTCTGAACTTGCCTCTTA